GGAGGAGGGGGAGGAGGAGGAGGAGGAGGAGGAGGAGGAGGAAGACGACAATTGTGGGGGGTTTTGTGGTCTCTGACCTCTGTTGTTTTCCTGCAGACGTTTCATGGCCCAACTAGGGAATATCATCAGTGCTGATGATCAGTAATGAAATATCTGCAAGAAAACCACTAAGCTCAGAGAGCACCAAAGACCCTCTACAAAAAATAATAATAGTTATTACACTCAGAGATGACGAGATGAACACTGGGGAGAGCCACACTTGGTGGTGAGAGGCTCTTGACCAGGTAGGACAATGGGCAGAAGCCGACACTTGTGGAAGTCGAAGTCCGACACTTGTGGGAGAGTGATCAGAGGGCTGAGTACGGAAGGGGAGGGACGATTCTAGGCAGAAATACCGATGGAAGAGACCTCGGAGCCTTGGATGACGCAGCTGCAAGGAAGGCAGATCCAGGCAGGGAACAGCGTCAAGCTCAAAAGAAACCACCATTCCTCTCTACCCTGCAGTGGCCGAGCCTTAGCTAGGATCATGCAGCGTCCCATTCAGACAGGACCCTGATGGGCTGAAGCCTCTCCAGAGGAGAGCCACTGGGATGCCCAGGAGCCTGGAAGGAAGAAAGAAGTTGGTCAACTCTGGTCTGGGGGAAAGAAGATTCTGTGGAGCCTGGATCTTTGTCCTTGAGGATCCGGAGGGCTGCAGCGGAGGAATCAGGGCAGAAATGTTCAGAATGGATCCCAAAAGGAAAATAAGAAACGGTGGGTTGGAATGAGGAGGAAGCAGAGTTTGCTACAGACCAGGAAAATTTGGCTAACGGTTTGACAGGCTGCCTCCACCAAGGCTGTTGGCTGGGGACACCCTTGTGGGAGACCCCTGCACTGGGAAGGGCGCTAGGCGAGATGGTCTCCAGCACCCCCACCCTTATCTTCCAGGATTCGGCCCAAAGCGGGTGGGCTGATGACGGAAGCCACTGAAGGCTGGTCTCCCGAGAAAGAATATTCCGAGATGTGCAGGGTCCAGCCTGGCTCGGTCCCCGGGACCCCCCGAGGCTTTGCCTTCCGAGCTTTCGGACTGGTGCCGGGGCCCATCCCGAGGGAGCTTCTCTCTGGCAGAATCGGTGCTGTTCTGGGCTCTTGGCCAGA